TACCCACCTCCCCAGGTACCCACCCGCTTTCCCCCATGCACGGCGCAGTGAGGACAGTCCCAGTGTCCCGGAACACTCATGCACTCTGTTCTTTGGAGGTTGGGAACACAGGAAGCTTGCAGAAAGAAGGCGGTTCTGCAAGGCTGTCCCGCCTGAGCCTCCCAGACATCGCCAGCTGAGAGTCAGTACTCTCATTGAAGCCACCTCTAGAGGCAGTGACCATCCTTCCTCCCTGCCTCTAGCCTGACCCCCACTCGCAGCAGTCTCCCTTCTGGTGTGATGTCACCCATGCCTGTGTGTGCGTGTGCACGCATGCGCGCACATACAGGTATCTAGTTCAAGATCTAGTCACACCTCCCCTAGTTAACTTCCACGGTTGTCCTCTCGAAGCCTAGGTTCCGCGTGTAAGAGGGCGCATCGGCTGTCTTTGCGACCAGGCTTATTTTGCTTGACGGTGTCCCCTGCTCTGCCCATCCTCGTACAGACGACACGGCTTCATCCGTCTCTCCAGCGGGATGAAATTCTCAGCCCCCACGAGACTGACTTCCTGCAGACCCTGAGGGCAGCCGGACGGGCGTCGAGTCTCTAACAAATGTGGTCTGTTAACCTCAGGCCAAGCCCGACGGAAATTTGTCACATTCTGTCTTGGAAACTTCCAAGGACCTGTCCTTCACTTCTGTGGTTTTTACTATCCCTGGTGTCTGAGTATCTCTTTCTCATGAGGTGAGGTTACAGTGTGGGATCCCAAGGAGACAGAAGTGCCAGGGGCCCTGTCTGATGATGACTGAGGTCTGCCCAGCCATCGTTCCCCACCGCAAGGCTCCTTCCTTGGTATCCTTAGAGGCTTTTTATTTTATTCTTCGCATCTAAGGAGAAAGGTCGCCGTGAACGCCATCAGGGGCGGCGGGTTTTCGGTGTCGTGAACTGGATGTTTCCTACGTTCTGGATACGGTCCGCGGGCTTTGTCTACAGGAGCACTGCAAAGAGCTGCTGCTGTTTCCTCGGGCGTGAGGGAACGAGAGTCAGCAGGGCAGCTTTAGGTTTCTGGCTGCTCCGCTGTCTTTACTTGCAGCAGCCTTAGGCCTGCTGTTGACCGGGGGCGGGGAGGATCCAGGGAAGCTGTTTCGTGTCCGTTCAGTCACCTGCTCTGATACCTGCACGCTGACCATGACCTAGAAGAGTCCCTGTTTGTTGCCTGTGCTGCCCTTGTGGTTCAGGACAAAGTCACCAGGCACTAAGTTTCAGAGGCAGGGGTTATACACTGGGGGCAGCTTAGGGGCTGGGAATGGGGAATGTCTCTACACTCCACGCCTGAGATAGGAGCTGTGTGTTAGCCATCTTAGGCTTGAAGACCCGAGTTCAGATCTCAGTAGGGCAGCCCCTCCTTTCCTGTTCCTTGTGGCCCCGGGCAGGACGCACTTTCTAATACCCGCCTCTTTATTTGCAATAGTGACGGAGATACTGCTGTCTTGCAAGTTTATGAGGCATTTTACCCGTGCTTGTTAGAGCATCCCAGATGCTCTAGCAGCTAGAGCTTGCTAGAACTTCCCAGATGTGGGCTGGGCAGTGGTGGCGCACGCCTTTAATCCCAGCACTGGGGAGGCAGAGGCAGGAGGATCTCTGTGAGTTGGAGACCAGCCTGGTCTACAAGAGCGAGTTCTAGGACAGCCTCCTAAGCTACACAGAGGAACCATGTCTTGGAAAACAAACAATAAACAAACAGAAACTTCCCAGTTCCAGCAGCAGTGGCCCCCTCCATCCTCCGTATCTGGTGCCATCCTGCTTGAGCCAATTCCGCCTCAGAAGAGCCCAGTCATTTGCATTTCTTCCCGCTCCCTGGGATAGTGCAGACTAGGTGTGAAATCTGAAGTCAGCCGGGTTGCCCAGGGACTTACGGTAAATACTGACTACACCAGACATCACTCTCCGCCTTCTCGTTGTGCACTGATCCACTTGGTCCGTGGCTGCTGCTTTCCCGGAACCGCCATTCTAACCACACCCTGCACTCTCCCCCCCCCAACAGAGGCAGCAGAGCAAATGCAGTAAGATTAAAAGGGCTCTGAAGCCAGAGGCCCCTTCCTGCATCCTCCCCATGTCCCTCAAAAGATCAGTTTATGTGACCACTTGTTCAGGAAAGGTTACTGTCAGCGTCCTGGGGTTGTGTGAAAGTGGCCGCAACACCACCCACGCCTGGGTGTGGCGCCTTGCATTCTATAGCATCTGTAATGTGCGGGACCATCAGAACAGCCCTACATTGCCATCCTGTGGAAAACTGCTCAGAACAGGCATGCCATGGCATAAGTCATTAAGCCAAGGATAGATAGGACCACACACACACACACACACACAACATACATGCACGTGCGTGCATACATGTGCACTTGCATACACGCACGCACGCACGCACGCACGCAGGCACACGAGAAACAGGCTAAGAGGTGCCCACGATATCACTGTCTATCCTTAGTCCCCTGGAACTCCACCTTACACAAGGCTAGTGTGACTGGGAACTCAGTAGTAAAACTTCACTTTACGTCATATTAGTAAGATTAATGGCCCCTTGTGGGACATACTGGACAGCACAGTTCTCAAGCCCTAAGCAGGGAAGGGACTTGGGAGTGGAGGCAGGGGGCCAGGCGTAGTTTTCCATTGCAGTGCCCCGGCTCATGGCATCCATGACCATCCACGTGTTCCCGGTGTCCGAGGCAGCCACCCAAAGCGAGACTCAGCGCTTTGTACCCTGTGCCAGCAAGGTCAGGGCTGTCTCTCATTTGAGAAGTGTCTTCACTGGTTCTAAAATCAAATGAATGCAAAATAGGCTTAAAGCACATTTTTCGAAGCACGGCGAATCACGGTGGAGGCAGTGTCGTGGGTCTCCCTAGGAAACGGTCAAGGACTGAAGGACAGTCAACACGTGTGTTTGGGGGTACAAGGTGAAGGGAATTGCTTGTACGTTATGTTAATGCATTTGAAATTATCTGGCCGGGCGGTGGTGGCGCACGCCTTTAATCCCAGCACTTGGGAGACAGAGGCAGGTGGATCGCTGTGAGTTCAAGACCAAGCCTGGTCTACAAGAGCGAGTTCGAGGACAGCCTCCAAAGCCACACAGAAACTATGTGTTGAAAAACTGAAAACAAACAAACAAAGAAATTATCTCTATGGCTTGGTTTGGGTTTGGTTTTGGCTGTCCTGGAACTCACTGTGTAGACCAGGCTGGCTTCCAGCTCAAAGACATCCGCCTGCCTCTGCCTCCCGAGTGCTGGGACTAAAGGTATGCTGCCGCTTCACTGAGCTAGCTTGTGTTTTGAGTCGTCCCCCCCCCACTCATTCACCCTACATGCAAATACTTGTCTTCACCCAACCACTTCATGTGCTGTTCTTTCATTCGCGTAGACACGGAAGCATGCCTTATTTCCATTTACAGTCAGAGAAACCACGGGGAATAGCAAAGATAAGCATGTGATCTTTGTTTCAGGTCTGTTTCTCTTGATAGTAGAAAGCATCTAGATGCTGGGTTCTAGCTCCAGAGCGTGTGTTTGGGTCTTAGGTTATAATCAAGGAGACACTTGTTTGTGAGAGGAAGGGGGTGGACCAGGGTTAATGAGCCTGCTTAGATTTCTACGGGTTGCCGGGTGGTGGTGGTGCACGCCTTTAATCTCCCAGCACTCGGGAGGCAGAGGCAGGCGGATCTCTGTGAGTTCGAGGCCAGGCTGGACCAACAGCCTCCAAAACAATACAGAGAAACCCTGTCTCGTAAAACCAAAAAAATAAAAAATAAAAAAAGATTTCCACGGGTTACTCCAGACACCCAGAGTCCCTCCCTCCCTGCTTTCACTGGTAAGGAGTCTCCAAGCTGACCCTCACAGCTAGCCCTCACAATCCCCCTAGCTGGAGAACTTGTAGGTGGCATTCCCAACCAGGCCCAGCATTCTATAAGCCATGTCTTTTCGGGTTCTCATGGACTTCTTGTTGAACCTGGGTTGGGATTTGCAGCCTCTGTCACTCTCCCTGGGGCCTGCTAGGATGTAAACTCACAGCCCAGGAAGCCTTCCTGAGGGTTGGGTTCAGCCATGGGCGAGTGGTTGCTTTCATGTCATTTTCTCCTCCTCCTCCCTGGCTGGCCGGCTGCCACGTGACTGACAGGCTCATACTGGTAAAAGAAGTGTTCCTTCAGGACCAGAAAGCCTCAAAAATGCACAGTATTTGTCTCCATGTGTATGCACGCAGAATCCTTTGCCGAGGTCACACGTAGCTGCTCTTGGAAGTAAATTAATTGTATTGTGTGGGTCATGGTTTTCCTAAGTGAAATTGTCAAAAGAATTTTCAGCTCTGGTACTGTGTGGTAATTACCCAGACAGCAACTATGTGGCCCTGCCTTCCAAACAAGGACCCTTTTCTTGTGGGGTTAGCATCCGGAGGATGTGCTGGACAAGCTATAGTTACTTTTTCATGTTCTTGATAATAAAACTACCTTTGAGCTCTTCTTAGTAAGAGAAATGCCTTACATTTGTAGACTTGGAGGCAGCCAGTGTAGGAGAGGTGGCCACACATGAATCCCACAGTGGACAGCAAGACTTTAGGGCGTGTCTCTAGTCCCAAGGGTTTGTCCTGCATTTGGACCCACTGCTCTGGGAGGGTGGGGCAGACAGATCCCATGACATCACCCAGAGCTGATGTCCAGTAAATGTGGAGCAAATAACCTTTCTGCTGGCGGGTCTCACAACCCCTGTGTGTGTGGAAGGCAAACCGTCTACCAGACCCACCCACGGTCCTCTTTCCGCACACGGCGGGAACCCTTCAGTGGGTTTGGTTCTTGAGACAGGTCATACTGTGTAGCATAGGCTGGCCCCAGATTCACAACCCCACCAGGGCCTCCCAAGTGCTGGACTCATGCCCGGGTACGAGAGGAACAGGAATCACTGGAGAGGGGTCCAGATGGGTGATGGGAAGGAAGATGTCATTTCATTGCTAACCCTCTGTGTCTGCCTTTGCTGCTTAAGGGAAGGCCGCTCAAATGCCCACGTCAGGGGAGATTACCAAAGAATCGGGGACGTCCTGCTGAAGAACATTCAGGGCATGAAGGTGAGTGGTTGGGGTGGGGGTGTGGCCGCTTCTGTGGGCGTGGCCCCTCTGTGCACTGCTGTTTCTGTGGGCGTGGCCCTTCTGAGGGTGTGGCCCCTCTGTGGGCGTGGCCTTTCTGAGGGCGTGCACCACCCGGCCTTCCACCTGCTCAGAGTGTTGAGGATGGATGGATGATCTTGTAGTCATCCTCCTCCGTTCTAAGGAATGTCACTGGAGAAAGCATAATAGCTGTCTGGGCCAAAAACTCCGCGTCATAGACAAGCAGCGGGTATTTATACATAAGAAGGGTGCTCACAAAACTGCACATTTCTCTTTCCGTCAGTCATTTTGGCTTCCTTTGTATATGACAAAATCCTAGATGCGAAACTATCTGGGCATCCCGGTAAATTCGGTGTCTTTAAACCCACGCGAGGCAAATCTGTTTTTGAAACAGCGGTACCTACAGTGAAAGCATACCCAAGAGAGCTAAGGAGTATTAGCCCACAATCCTCTCCTACAAATGCCTGAGATTATAGTTCACTTAAGCGCATTTAACAGCGCCTGTGGTACGGAGGACTTGGATTCACACTGCTTGTCAGCTGAACGCATCTGGGTTTGCATTTTTAAGAGGTCTTGTTAAATCTCAGCTGCTAGGGCATGAATGCCCATAACCTCGGGACCCGATAACTGTCCCGGACAAGGAGTGATCCCTAAGAAGGCAGGCACTCACACTGTCATCATGATGGTTTATCCAGTCAGCCGCTAGTCCAACCAACCGTCACTCCGTGGTAAACGAGAGCCTACTACATAGGAGGGCTCTCACAGATCTGGGGGTCCTGTGTGGTTTGAATTCATTCCATTGTCCATTTGGCTAAGTAACTGTATTAGGATGAAGACCTAGCTGCTCAAGACATTTCTTGTCAACCTCTTGCTGGGGGGGTGAGGGGTCTGTGAAGGGGTTGTGTGTGTGTGGTGTGTACCTATGGGAGGGTGGATGTGTGGTTGTGTGTGTGTGTATGGTGTCTGTGGGCGTGTGTATGTGGCATCAGTTTTTATGTTGCTGGGAGACCGAGCCTGGGACCCCAGAGATAACAGGCAAGCACGTGTCAGCCACGTCTCCAGATCTCCCCAGTTTTTTCGTTTTGTTTGTTTGGTTGGTTGGTTTTGGTGTGTGTGTGTTTTGTTTGTTGTTGTTTTTTGAGACAGTATTTCCTGTGTAACAGGCTCTGTCTGTCCTGGAACTCGCTCTGTGATCCGCCTGCCTCTGCCTCCCGAGTCCTGGGATTACAGGTGTGTGCCGCCACCGCCCAGCGCTCCCCAGTTTCTTGGGCATCATCCCTCACCACGTTCATAGCACACTGTGCTGCAGGGCTGTGGGACACTGCGGAGTGAGGTGCAAGCCGGCAAAGCGGGACAAGCCCGGCCCGGCAGACTCCCCGGCGCTGTGAGGCAGATGCACAGAACTCGGGAGTGTAGTATTGGACACCTCCTTTAGAAATGAATTTTGACTTTTTTCAGTGCAACTTTAAGTTATCACCAGTGTATAGGTTCCCTCCCCCCACACACACAACACTCAAGGTTTCCACTAATGTTAACGTTTTTTCTCCTTGCTGTCATACAGCTAAGGTTGACCACCCAGCATTGCTGGACCATCATCGGTTAAAGCCTCCAGCCCGTCCTGCGGCTCACTCTTGGTACTGGACACTCTTGAGTATGAAGACAAGCACCCACCATGACAGTACCATACAGGATCATTCTAAATAATGCCTTTAACACACGCACGCACATGCGCATGCACACACACACACACACTGCAGAGCTGGGCCTGCTGGCACAGTCTTGTGATCCCAGCTGCTCAGGAGGCTGAGGCAGGAAACCCTCAAGTTCAGGACCAGCCTGGGCTATGGTAGCAAGCGCCTGTATCAGCCCCCGCCCCCCTGCTCCCCTCTCCCACACTGCTCTGCCCTCACCCCCTTCATAGCTCGTCGTGTTCTCAGGATGCCCCGCGGTGGAAGTGGTCCAGGCGTAGCCTGTCCTAGCTGGCTCCTGGTTACCACGTTACTTCTGGTTATTGCCTATTCCTAAGATTCCTAAGATGTCTCTTCTCCTGCTGCAAGCTTTTTCTCAGTCCATTCTAGTTTTCATTTTCTGACAAAACAAAGAGAGTCAGATTCTCCTTGTTTGGGAGCGTAACCTCTGGAGTGGTGGGAGAGGTCTGTCTGGCCCTTTCCCCGCCCAGGGACATCCTGACTCACTGTTCACCAGCCACCGTGTGACTTTCTCATGCCTGATTGCCAAGTGCCCCCATACCCTCCCCCCACCCCGAAGCCGCTATTCCGCCTTCCCCCATTGACCATCGTGGAAGACCTAAAAGTACACCCTTTGCCTGTGCTGAGCTGGGCGTGTCACCTCTTTGTCCAGGCTGACGCTCTGTGCTCCTCGGGTTCTGTGGCGTTTCAGAGCTATGCCAGTATCGCAAGGGCTTTGCGGCCTGGGCCTCTGCGGAAGCAAACTTAAAAATCGATTGGGGGAGGGCACCGGCAGCCTTTCTGAGGAAAGGCTTTTATTACATTTGCTTGTTTGCTGGCTCATTTTGTGTCGTTGTGGGCCTTATTGTTGGTGTGAAAGCATTTTTATAAAGCGTGGAGGGAACGAGCAGATGATTTCCAGAAATGCAGCCTCCCTGGTCCGCAGCAATTCCTGCTTGTCGTGTCTTTCCTGCCCCCCCCCCGCACTAAACTGTATTTGAACATGCCGAGCACATGGGAGCACACGTCAGACGGCATCCGTCACACATGCCCTCGCCGTGTGCGTTCCCCCCTGCACAGTGGTGCTTGTCATGCTCTGGGGTCCCTCTTCGTGACGTGACTGGGAGAGCTCGGTCTGTGGTTTCATCCCCATCTGAAAAAGAAAGGGGGGGGGGAAGAGCTGCCATAAAATGACGGGCACAGAGGCTTTCTCCGTTTCCAAAGCCACATGGGTGTGACTCTGTTTTCAAAGTCACACTGGTGTGAACGTGCTGACCAGGACGCGCCCCCTTCCCCTCCCGCAGCACCTGGCAGCCCACCTGTGGAAGCACAGCGAGGCCTTGGAGGCGCTGGAGAACTCCATCAAGGGCTCCCGGCGGCTGGAGCACTTCTGCCGAGACTTCGAGCTGCAGAAGGTGTGCTACCTGCCCCTCAACACCTTCCTCCTGCGCCCGCTGCACCGCCTCATGCACTACAAGCAGGTCCTGGAGCGGCTGTGCAAGCACCACCCCCCTAGCCACGCTGACTTCAGGGACTGCCGAGGTAAGGGGCCTTGAGCGCACCCGGCAACCCACACACAGCCCTGTGGGTGCGCACGAACGGGGTGCGGCCGGGCCGTGCCCACGGGGAGGTCTCTGTGGACCGTTTGCTGTGGTCGCACGCCAGGCTTCCATCGTGGGATGGTCACGTCTTGGTCTTCCTCTGGGAAGGCGATGCTGCTGGCTGGGGTGTCCTGTCCTCCCTGTGTGCACACACCCTCTCCTTTGCACCCAGGCAGTCGGGGACAAAGCACCCTAGAGAATCTCCACCTGTAGCCAGCCTGTGCCTCCACCCGCCTCCACGGGACTTGGTACTCCCACCTCTGGCCTGCTTGAGGAAACAGTGACAGACTCAGGTTGCTTTTTACTTCCCGGGCACCTGTCACAGCCTGAGGCGCAGGGGAACTCATGGTATCTATGGTAACAGCTGAGGCCAAGAAACCTGCTCAGGGTCACACAGTGGGGGCGTAGACAGCTTGGAACCCAATCCTAGCATCCTGTTCACCGCAGCCCCTCCCCTAATGGATTTCCTACCCGAGCTTGCTCAGCTCCTCGCCCGGCCTGGTACCTGCGCCGTCACCCTGCGCTGTCACCGTTCCGGGACATCAGTTGGGGTTGCCCGATTTGAAGGACACTTGGCTTGGGGAAAGGGACTAGCAAGTGTCACTCGGGACAAGGTCAGAGCTGGTATCCCATCCATGCCTGACCCAAGATGTCTTTGTCCCATGTTACATACGGTCTGTTGAGGTTTGCATGCCCTGGCTGCACCAGCCTAAAAACCGAGACCCTTCAAATACCAGGCTCGGGCTGTGCATAGAACGGGCCCCGAGGAGGCGGCCCCTGAACACATTGTATGAACGCAGTGTGTGTCTCTACCATCAAGCCAAGACCCTGGTTCTTACCTAAAGTATTATAGGACCGGATGTGAGGATGCAGCCTGGTCTACATAGCAAGTTCCAAGTCAGCCAGGCTACATGTTAAGTTTTATCTCAAAAAAAAAAAAAGTATTAGAAACTCCTTCTGGGTCTTAGGTCACAAATCTTTTTCTCTATCCCTTGGCTGAAAATCCCAGGTGTGGCTTGGGGTGCAGCTCATGGTAGAGCACTTGCGTAGCACACAGAAGGCCCTGGGTTCAATCCCCAGCTCTGCATAAGATCAGGCGTGGTAGGAAATCCCTGTAGTCCTGATATTTGGGGAGATCCAGACCAGCCTGGGATATGGCCTCATAGGGTGTCTATTAACGCCCTGACCACAGCAACTCTTTTCATTTTCTATTAAATATTTTCATTTATTTTACATCCCTACTGCGGTTTCCATGGCAACTCTTACAAGGCAGGCATCTGAGGTGGTGGCTTACAGTTCAGAGGTTTAGTTCATTATCATCCTGGCAGGAGCCCAGGGACGTGCAGGCATCTTGGACGGGAAGGGAACGGGAGGGAACGGGAAGTGTACTGAGGCCTGGCGTAGCGTGAGTGTGTGTGAGGCCTCGTTTGTCCTTGGCAGTGCTGCCCAACCTAAGGTGGCCTTGCTGATGAGGGACAGGGATTCTGAGGCCAACAACAGAGGCTGCCCCTGTACGTGGGGCCGTCATTGTCACCCCGAGCCCCCTCCCATCCCTGCTGACCCGTTGGATTCCCAGTAAAAGTCTGCTGGACCAAACCGGTGGCCATGTGTGAGGAGGCCGCAGGCCTGGAGCTCGTCACACTGGCGGCTGAGGCGGAGCACCCTGTGAGGTGGCTGCCCTGGAGCCCTGGGCTGGAGGTCCTGCCTGAGCTAACCCTCACCCCTGTGCCCTTCCTCAGCTGCGCTGGCCGAGATCACAGAGATGGTGGCACAGCTGCATGGTACGATGATCAAGATGGAGAACTTCCAGAAGCTGCATGAGCTCAAGAAGGATCTGATCGGCGTCGACAATCTTGTGATCCCCGGAAGGGTAAGCTCACATTGGAGAGATGCCTGAGGGAGCAGGGAAGGTCCCTGTGCCTCTAGTGCAGGGGGTCGGCTCTGGCTCCTGATTGGCTGGTCGGCTCATCTGTGTCCTTGCCTTCCCTCTCCACCCCCACGCCTTGTAAAGAGGGCTTAACAGAGCTGTCGGGTTTTTTGGTTGTTTTTTCCCCTGTGAGTGAAAATGGAAAGTCCAGTGGGGAAATGCCAGAGAGAGGTGACACAGGTCACACACCCTGGGGTCCCAGCTCCACGGGATACGTGACGCTGGACCAACATTCCTTCTTGTCCTGCTGTCACCGTCAGAAACAGTGAGAACGGGAAGATAGGAGAAACGGCCACATTGTTTTTCTGTTGCGCTCCTAAAGGGGGAAGTTGCCCAGGGGGACACAATTATTCAGTGGTTTGTTGCACCTCACCTGATTTCTCTGTGGGATGGCTGGCTGTCTTCATACCCTGCCCCAGCCTGTTTCTGGAGATGCGTGGCCTCTGATCTGCTGCCGTAAGTCTGCCTTAACCTGCAGACAGAGCTGCAGGAAACTGGGGGCTTTCCGGCTGATGTAGCCTGCACACTATTTTGTTAGTTGCCCCCCCCCCCAATTTTTTGGACAAGAACATTACTCTAGCCCAGGCTGCTCTCAAACTCTCGGTGCTCCTGCCTCTGCCTCCTGAGTACTAGGATTACAGGTTATGCGCCATCACAATCAGCTCTGCCATAGCGCGAGTGTGTGTGCGTGGTGTGTGTGTGTGTGTGTGTGTGTGTGTTCGTGGACGCCAATGTTCATCTCGGAGGGGCTTTCTCGGGTATGGCTCACCTCGGGTACTTTTGTATCCCTGAGAGTCTTGGGCCAGCCTGGGCTTACAGAGTAGCCTAGGCCCGGTGGTCATCTAGTCCCAGGGATGCCCGTCTCCACCTCCCCAGCACCGGAATCACAAACGCCATGCGTGCCTGCCTGCATGGATTCCCCAAGGTCCACACTCGGGTCCTCCAGCAGGCACTTTAGCAACAGAGACTCCCTAGCCCCTGCCCAGGTATCTCTTAACCCAAGTGACTGGAGAGCATGGGCGAAGCCTTGTGTACTCGTCAGCAAACCTAAGCCCAGAAAGTGGCCGGGATGAAAGTTGTGAGTTACACGGTAAGAGCAGCCTGAGCTCATTTCAGCTCCCATTCTACCAGGACTGGGCACACACCAGCCTTGTTTGCCGTCTTTGTGGAATATTTAGGGAAGCCCAGTGGACTCAGTGTGATTTGTATCATTGAAAGATTATAAAACATGTAATGCATTATGCGGCCTGGTGCAGAGACCATTTGTGAGCATTGTGAAGAGCGCACTCACATTGCAGTAGCCTGCTGTGGTTTCAGGGTTAGCAATAGGGAGAAGGGTGTAGAACTTTCTGTGAGATGAGGGTCATATCCTGTCCGACAGGTCAGTGAGACTGAATGAAATCCTATTAAAAAAAAAAAAAAGACCAGCCGGGCATTGGTGGCGCACGCCCTTAATCCCAGCACTCGGGAGGCAGAGGCAGGCGGATCTCTGTGAGTTCGAGGCCAGCCTGGTCTACAGAGCAAGTTCCAGGACAGCTCCCAAAGCCACAGAGAAACCGTCTCGAAAAACCAAAAAAAAAAAAAAAAAAAAAAAAAAAAAGACCTAGGGACTAAATGCTCACCTAGTGTGGAGTCACTGGTTACAGTGTGGCCTGAGTCACCACCTGGAAGGCCAGTGGCTGCCTTAGGTAGGTCAAAACAGTTGATGAAAACCAGAATAAGCGTAGCTCAGATGTGCTGGAGTGTCCCGGCAGGAAGACAGCAGGCAAACACCCCCTGTTGTGTTGTTAGAAAGAAAGAGGTTAGTTAGACCTTGTCGGGTACGCTACCTATGTGGGTCTCCTAATCTGGATGGATGGACGGACATCTCTGTCTTGCTGAGGAATAGGATTCTTCTGGAGAATGGCAATCTGGCCACTAGGGGGCGACTCCAGGTGGTCTCTGGACCTGCCTGCCCAGTTAAGTAGGGTTCTCCACAGTGCAGTTAGAACACTCTGACACCAGCAGCTGGGGCTCCTCATGACTACCTGGAGGCATCAGAGGCCATGCTCTGTGCCCAGCCTACCCCCACAGCAGTAACAGCCTTGTTGAGAGCCTGGGATGGCAGCCATACAGCCCAGCGTCACAAGGACATGGCAGGGGCTGGCTCTGTCATCCATGAGCCAGCCAGCTGCTCACGGGCAAGTTTCTCAAACACTTTGCTCATGTGTCTGAATGTGGGAATAGCACTGACTTCAGGCTCCTGTATGGAGCTAACAGGAGGACATGGGATGTGTCAGACGCAGGCCGCCTGCTCAGCCAAGGGTGGAGCCGGCATGTCCCCATGTAGTCACTGGCTCGCCAAGCTGCCTCCCTAAGCTGTTCAGTCAACATGGGAAGGGATGAGAAGCCACTAGACTGGTCTTGAACTCACAGAGACTGACCCACCTCTGCCTCCCAGATGGTGGAATTAAGGTGTGTGCCACCGTGCCCCACCCAAGATGGGAGTCTTGCCAGGCTGGGTCCCAACTCCTAGGCTTCTGGATCCTCCTACCTCTGCCCCTGAAGTTACAGCCAAGCACTAGTGCCTACCTAGAAAACAGCTTAAGATGATGGGGGATGTCCTTCAGTCTCTGTTTCCCTTATTGGCTGATGAATAAAACACTGTCCAATAGAGGCAGGGAGATAGGCGGGACTAGGGGACGAAAAGTTCCAGGAAGAAAGAACTCATCAGGTGTTCTCCGAAAAGACCACGTGGAAATACATAGATTAATAGAAATGGGTTAATAATTAAGCCAGAGCTAGCTCTAGTCATCGGCCAGCAGTTTAATAACATAGCATCCGTGTGCTTATTTGGGGCTGAAATGGCTGTGGGACCAACCTGGCGGGAAAGAAAAACCAGCAACAAAATGGCACCCAATGTGCGGCCAAGATAGGACTAAAATAAGTAAAATCTGCCACTCATAACCATTGCTGTCTGCAGTGTTGCCTGATCAGAACTCGCTCTCTTACGTGGTGACCGCCACCTTGTGCCAGTCACGGGGCAGGGTTCAGAGAAGGCCAGCATCCGGGTGCCGGCTCAGATCCTCACTCTTGGTAAACCGAGGCTCTTATCTGTTCCACAGGAGTTCATCCGCCTGGGCAGCCTCAGCAAACTCTCCGGGAAGGGGCTCCAGCAACGAATGTTCTTTCTGGTGAGTGGGGTGAGCTGTTAGTCCTTGGCAGTCCCAGAACCCTGTTGCTGGTGGGTGAGGACGATCCGGAGGCCGGAACCTGCCCACTCCCCTAGGAGGACTGAGAGGTGAGGGGGGCTTCCAGCCCACACACTTCTGCTTGTCCCTCCAGTTCAACGATGTCTTGCTGTACACCAGCCGGGGGCTGACCGCATCCAACCAGTTTAAAGTCCATGGACAGCTCCCACTCTACGGCATGACGGTAAGTGCCCGCCGCTAGCCTGCCCTCTTCATGAAGAACAGATGGCTTCAGTGCCCACTAGCAGGGAGGACCCTGGAAGACACTGCCTCTTCCTTCTGCACATGCGAGGCCACGGGATGGTCTTTCTAGAATCCAGGGCACGTTCACTTGAGCCGTATGGTATGAATATTTGCCTCTGTCTCATGCTGGCCCGTTCAGTGGGGACAAAACCAACTTTTCCTCACCAAGGCAGGACCCACACTTCAGCCCGGTCGGCCTGTGTCCACGGGCCACCTCCCTGTGCATATGGACCTGGCTTACGCCAACCTTCTTAGAAGGTGGAGCTATGTGAGCTTCCGGAAGAAACTGATGCAGCATGTTCCCTTAGAGTCCCTTGGCTGGCTGGAGGAACAGGCTCCTCTGGGCCCGAGTCCCGCTAGCGTTCTGCCTCTACCCGTCTGGTAGGCAGTTCGGTGTGCGTCCACAGACACACCAGGGCCTGGCTTGCCGCTCAGCACTGACTTGAGGAAACTCTTCCACAGATGGAGGAGAGTGAAGAGGAGTGGGGGGTACCCCACTGCCTGACGCTGCGGGGCCAGCGGCAAACCATCATCGTGGCGGCCAGGTAACTCCCGAACCCGACTCCTGCCCTTGACCTTTGACCTTCCACGGTCTGAAAAGCTGACGTCATCTCTGTCCCCAGTTCCCGGTCAGAGATGGAAAAGTGGATGGAGGACATCCAGATGGCCATTGACCTGGCTGAGAAAAGCAACGGGCCCGCCCCTGAGCTCCTGGCCGGCAGCCCCCCTGACAACAGTAAGTGCTGTGGGTGTGGCCACAGGGAAAGGCGGGTCTCAGCTTCAGAGAGGTCACACGTGGCTTAGCGGGTGGGCCTCCTGCCCGTGCTCTCGGGATCCGTGCTGACGTGGTGTGAGGGAACGGGGATGCCATCTCCCTGAAGCCGTGCATCTGTCGGTATTTATGGAGGAAGAGCCCACAGGCCGTGTCCGCTGGCAGGAAGGACTCCCAGCCCAGGCAGGGGGCACTGGGAGGATGCTCCCCACCAGGGAGGGTCCCTTAGAATCCTACCCATTGGCACCTGGAGGGCTGTACGAGGAGTCCCCACCCCCAGCCTCCTCCGGCATGATGGGAAAGCTTGTGTTAGAAGGGACGGCATCAGTGTCCCCCTTCACGACTTCCTGCAGAGTCCCCAGATGAGGCCACGGTGGCGGCTGACCAGGAGTCAGAGGACGATCTGAGTGCTTCGAGAACCTCGCTGGAGCGCCAGGCCCCTCACCGTGGCAACACGATGGTGCACGTGTGCTGGCATCGCAACACCAGCGTCTCCATGGTGGACTTCAGCGTTGCTGTGGAGGTATGGCGGGAGCGGCACGGGACAGGCCCAGCGGCTTTGAGAGCTTGCCAGGGGTTCCCAGTGCCTGGCCGCTCAGAGCGCCTCCCTGGGTGAGCATCCGGAACAGGAGCAGGCCTCACAGGGTGTGAGCCTGCTGTGGCCATCTCCACCACTGGGCAGAGTAGGCAACCCTCACCTCCGTTTCCGCTGCCTGTGTTCGCCAAACCCTCTTTCGTCTCGTGGGATCAGTTGGGAGGAAGGTCTGCCCGTGTACAGTAGACCAGACGCCCCAGCATCTGTGACCTAAAACGGGTCCCTGGAAATTAGGTCTCAAAGTGGTTGAGGTGGTTCTAGCCAGGTCAGGTCAAGATGGCCCCCGGGTGAGGCCCTGTGACTCAAGCCTCAGGAGTTGCTTTGGAGATGTGCCTTTCCTCTGGATTACTGTACTCGAAGCTTCCAGACCTTTCCAGGTCCCATAGCAAAGCAGCCACCGCATAGGCTGGCAGGCTTGGGAGCGTCAAAGCCGTTGTCTGCTGTCCTGTTGCCAACAGCGCCTGCCGGCACGGGGGTGCTACATCCCCAGGGCACTCTGGCCCCAGGTGGGGGAAGTTTTAAGGTGCACAAAGCTAGTTCCCAACACGCCTGGGCTACATAATGTGAGCCAAGGACAGGACTGGTTTGCTGGTTCTTTGATCTGAAGAGACAGGAGACGTTCTTGAAGCTAGAGTCTTGGAATTGTGTTCTGCAAGCGGCCTTCAGAGTTCAGACTGACCTATGAGTTTCCTACAGCAGCTGTGTCCTGAAGACATTTTCGGGGGGACCCTGACTCTCCCTTTCTTTGTGACCGTGGTAGCCTTTCACATTTCCGACTCCTCACCTGAGATGAGAGGCTGCCCCTGCTCCCAGGCCACCCTGTCATCTAGGTCTGAGTGTGAGGGCATCCAGGTGAGGCATGTCACAGAGGTGGGGAACCCTTGCTTGAAAGCCCCAGAGAAGAGCTGAGGACCGTTGTGGGGGAGGCAGAACTCCCAGCTTGAAGGAGCTCTTTTGACCTCACTTTCTAGATAACCTTCCCAGTCACATGCCTCACACCTCAACTTCCCGCCTCTCATCGAGACCCTGGAGGCACCTGGGCTATTGAAGCGGCAAATACCAACCCGGGTATAGAGGCCCAGGCTGCTTGCTCCCTAGGGGTCACCTCTGAGTCGGCCCATGGGCCAGCCCAGCCCATTGCTTAGAGCCCAGTATGTCCCATTTCTAAACCGTTGATACACCCCGTCTCGGCCTGTGGGACTGCCACACCTGCACCTTGACCCCTCGAGAAGTCTGGTGACAGTATCACACTCGGGGGCAATAATGACACGGGTTCAAAAGCCGTTATGTCACTCTCCAGCATCTGTCCTTGCCAGGAACACGCCGCCCGCCCCGCCCCGCCCCGCCCCGCCCCGGGGTGCATTGCTTGAGTCTGGCTTCCCGGGTGGGCTGCTTCGCCTGCCGCAGGCAGGGGGACTCGAAGGCCCCTCTCACTTCCCCCGCCCTGCCTCCTGTCAGAGTCAGCAGTGTTTGGGGACGCAATGGTGGCTGCGGGGACAGAAAGTGTCAGTGCGGCCAGCACTGTCTGCATCAGAGCCAGTCGGGGCCTTGAGGCAGGCGATGCCTTTTCAGAGCTGGGAGGGCAGCGGGCCTCTGGGAAGCTCTTTGGGTTGAACTGGTCCCCGAGGTCGCCATAATAGCCGTGGACACTGGTTGGAATACTGTAGCTGTGGACACTGGTTGGAATACTGGATTATCCTTGCAGGGCCCTAGAAGGGGAGGGGGGGGGGGTGCGGGTCAAGGTGTTGCTGGGGTTGTGTTTTCCCATAAGCAGAGGTCCCTGGGGGAAAATCTCCCAGGTTGTTTGTGCATCCCATGCCCAAGACTCCACCTTGGTGAGCACGCGGCCCTCCCCCCAGGCCTGCCTTCAGGCGACTGCTCCCCAGGTCCTGGAGGTGGGGACGGTGGACCTGAACTTGTAGGACCTAGAGGCTGAGGCTGGAGGACAGTAATAATCTGTCAGCCCCTGGGTGGCAATGCTAACATTATGGTGCCCGCTGTTTCAGACTCAAATCCAGACAGCCGAGGCTGAGCTGCGTCATCCGTATGAACGTGGCCTCAGCTTCAAGAGGGCAGTTATGCCAGGAGGGCAGAGCACAGTGGCATTTGACAGGCCAGACACTGCTAGGAACCGGAGTTGGGTTCCTCTGCAAGGACAGGGTGTGCTCCGAGCTGCTGAGTTCTTTCCAGCCTGGTTGTGTTGTTTCTTAAACTGCAGTAGTAGACACAAATTCGCCCACCTAACCTTTTTTTTTTTTTTTTGGTGAACTGTGGGGTGGCGTTAATTAGCTTCTCTACCATTACACTTCCAACTTCTTCCGATGCCCTCTGCTGATGTCCCCTTGACAGAGGGGTGAAAGGTTGGCCTGTCAGAATGGCCTAGATGGAGCGCCTCACCGTGTTTGGGAGCTGGTGCCGATGTCTGCATTCTTACAGGAACTGCAGGTTCAAGGGTGCCCTGAAGCAGGGGCTGGGAGAGTGGCTTCTGGACGCTCCCACTAGGTGGCAGCATAGAGCTGTGCTCTGAGGGATGGCTTCTCAGTGCAGGTGGTCAGAGTCCCAGTCTTTGCCAGCCTCTTGCCTTTTCCGGCTCGCTGGCCGCACATCCCCGGTGTTCTGTGGATGTTCCCTCACCTCTGTTCCTGTTGTTGCACGGTGCCCCCGAATCACTGCTTCCGGGCACCACACACAGGACTCTGAGGGTCCTTCCTAACCCCAGTATTGTAACTAATTACAATACCTCAATCCCCATACCCCCAACAAAAGTCGCATTCAAGGGCGACGACGGCAAGAACTCAACCCCCGTGAGAGCATGGCCTGTGACGGGCGACGACCCCGGTGACCTCTCCGCGCAATGATATGTATGGCTGTGTGGGAGACCTGTTCTCAGCGCTAGGGTCTCTAGTACCCACCCATGGAGGCTGCCGTGGGTGACGTGCGTCTGCGCCGCTGTCTTTCAGAACCAGCTGTCTGGGAACCTGCTGAGGAAGTTCAAGAACAGCAACGGGTGGCAGAAGCTGTGGGTGGTGTTCACCAACTTCTGCCTGTTCTTCTACAAATCACACCAGGTAAGTGCCCCGTGGGGGTGGGGAGGCAGCTGGGTCCGGGTCTGCCTGCTCAAGCAGAATCGAGTGCCTCCACGAAACCCGTGCGGCTCGGGCCTGGCCCTGAGTCACAGGCAGAGGGAAATGCAGGGGCTCCAGGGCGAGCCATGTCCATCGGGGACCTTCAGCCCTAAGCGAACACTGACGCTGTCCGTTTGCTCAAAGACGGGCTTCCAGAAGCTCCCTTCCTGAATCTAAGAGGAGGCACAAAGAGATGCTCGGGACTCAAGAATGGACCCAAATGGGAACCTGACAGTTTATAGCATTTAAAAGGAAGATAGCAGGGCGGGCAAGCCATCAGCCTCACAGCTTCTGGGAGAAAAAGACAGGCTGTCAGGGTTGTCAGCCGTACAGTCGAGAGGGGATAGGACCTCTTAGGAAGAGCAAGGGAGCCCAGAGCATTGGCAGGGAGCTGAAAGCCAGTACCCCAAAGTCAAAGGCTGAGGAGAAAACAGTTCTGCTTTTCCGAGTCAGGACGACTGTCTTTAAACGAACACACCTCCCTCGGGGTGGTCTCCTAGCCAGGTGCCTGACTTGTCCTAATGGACTGGCCTTGAGGAGACAGGAGCATGTCTAGAGGCGATGCCATTCCTTACAGACCCACTAGTGGGATACACCACACTGGCCAAGACTGGCTTCCTCTGCCCTGACTTACTCCTGACCTCAGAGCCCTGTCGGAGCGGGCAGCACCGCCGACCACTTCCTCAAAGCCGCCTCCGTACCCTCTGCAGGACAATCACCCCCTCGCCAGCCTGCCCCTGCTGGGCTACTCACTCACCGTTCCCTCCGAGTCCGAGAACATTCACAAGGACTACGTCTTCAAGCTGCATTTCAAGTCCCATGTGTACTACTTCAGGGCCGAGAGCGAATACACATTCGAGAGGTAGGTGGCCCCCTCCTGTACGCACAGCCTGCCTGCGGGACAGTGGTCCCTTCCCGGCACCGGGGCTTTGTCTCCGGTGAGTAGGGAGTATGTACTCTGTAGGCCTTCTTCATATTCCTGGCCCCGCGGTGTGGGCATCAGAGAGAGGCAGGTGCAGTCCCAACTCCCTTAGTGATGCAGGCGCTCAACCCGGTCTGGTGAGCGCGTGCCGACACCGCGCGGACGGTCCCCTACGGTGGGCACGTCATACCGGGAAGCCGCAGCAGGGGAAGCTGATGCTTGTAGCCAAGGGACCAGGCCAAGAAAGAGTGGGCTGAGCGTTGGGTAGGAGACCCAAGGGCGATGGTCTTCATCGAGCCAGGAAGTCAGGCGTGGCCAGATTTACTGGGTGTGAACTCAGGGGAGTGCACATCGGTAGCACCGCCAGATGCCCAAGGTCACTGGACTGTAGTCATGGGGTGGGGGAAGGGTCAGCGTGCCTGCTCCCTCCCTGGCACAAAGCTTTTCTACACCAACAAGCAGTCCCTGGGAACTGTCAGGCAGTGTCTAAGCCGAGCTGCTTGCTAGCAAATGAGCCCAGAAGGTAGCAAGCAGCTCTCAGAAGACCCTAGGCGCGCAGCCTTGGCATGCTGAGTCCTAAGAGGAGGTGGCCTCCTTTATCTGTACCCGAGATGTGTCAAACCAGGTAAATCGTTGGGATACATTACCCTGAGAGCTGGTGCCAGTAACACCCTCAACTGTGACAACTAGCAGTGTCCAGACTTGGTGTGTCCCAGAGACAGTGCTGCCCTGTTTATTCACTCAAGTGGGACAGGATGGTGTGGGAATGCTGCCCTTACAGGGTCTTTGAAATGTGAGGTGTTGACAGGTCTCAAACACGGGTCCTTTTCAGTTAGTCACCATGGGAACCCTGGATGAGCTCTGGTCTTCCATGGTCGTCTCTGGCCGTAATACTCAGCATTCAATTTGTTATAAACCGACACAGGCATGTAAAGTCACCCGAGGTGCTTTTATGTCCGCTCCGTTTTTTAGGTGGATGGAAGTCATCCGAAGCGCCACCTGCTCAGCCTCCCGGGCCCACATTTTGAGTCACAAAGAATCTCACCTGTATTGATGGCTGGATACACTGGTTGTTCCAGCCGTAGCTGCTTTCTTGGAAGATACAATGAAGCCTAGCAGAATTCCCACCTGTCTGAACACACTGAAGATCTATCTGCAGCGATTCTCACCCCGCCCCCTCCACAGGCCAATCTCCAAACCTTGTCGTCTCCAGTACTGATCTCTCCTTGGAACAGCCTCTCCCCTCCAAGCGAAGGGGAGGGAGGGCTTGTCTTGCCATCCTCGTGGGGGCGCTCCAGCTTGTGCCAGTATTGAGACATTGTCATCAAGAAGTGCCAAATGACAGTCTGCCCTGCAAGCGCACGCCAGTGCAGGGCCCACATCCGTTCACATGAAGACACAAGTGCGCTTCTTTTCTTAGGAAGGAATGTGTTCCTTTCCACCCGTAGACTGCCGTTTCCCAAAATGGGCTTCTCCAGTGTCTACAACACACAGCGCCGTCTTAAGCAAATGAGATCATTTTCGGATTTGGTTTTTTTTCCGGTCTTTCTACTTTTGTAATAGGACACTTGTAGGACTCACCTCCCTTGACTAATAAGCAATTTGTGTGCACTCCGTTCCACGGAAGGGTTTGGCTCCAGTGAGAGCCTGGTTACCAGACCTATTTCCTTGGTGGAAGCTGACCAAACTGTTTGTGGTTCTTATTTACAAACTGTAGCGGGGTTGTTTTCTGTTAAGAGAAACAGATATCCAGTGCAATACCCGGGCGTGGTGTGTACAGTGGGGGGCTCTTACGCTGTGATGTTTTGCTGTCTGTTTCACAAGCATGAGAAACCATGTCGTCGACCAGGGCCATTTGTGCTGTTACGTCATGGGGCGTTGAGTGAGCTTCGCGGAGAAGCACGGTGTGGTCATGGTACGTAGTCCCAGCCCTGGGGATCGGACCCACTTCCTCCTGACGCCATGGCTCGACCCTGCACATCCTGTAGTACTTCTCTGTCGTGCCTGTCTTCAAGTCTCTCTCTTTTATACGCATTCCTTCCGGGCATGGGGTACAGACTCCTGGGGACTTGGCCGCCAAACACTACCTGAGCCTCCCAGTGGAAAAACGTTTGCCTGTTCTCTAGGGTGACTGGGTGGCTGCCGTTCCCTTCACGCATAGAGCCTTCTACAACGCAAGGTGGCCAGGTCAGCCCTACATCCCAGTGAGAAACAGACCCACCAGCGTCAGGGGGCTGTGGCTGGTGTCCACGACCCACCGATGGCTGACGAGTGAGAAGTGCTAATCATTTGCCTTACAATGTACCAGACGGTTCTAAAGGGAATAAAAATACCTCACGCCATAATCCAGCACACAGAAGTCTGAGGGCAAAACCACCACCTTTGTTGTGTCTCTTTGTGGCGGGCGGAAGGGCGGTGCTGGGTGGACGGGAAAGGGCAGAGGGAGGGAATACAGCATCGTGGCACACGTGTGTGTGTGGGTGTGGTCTACAGGTCTTCACCATCCACAGACTGCTGTGACTCATCCAGGGGACCCCCTCACCAGATGCCCAGTGGTGGGAGCAGCGCCCCCCCCCGCCCCCCAGCGTTACCAAGTTCTTGAAGGGCTGGAGACAGGATGACTCCCAGGCTGTCTGCCGGACACGTGGTCCCTGTGTGACTAGCACTTCTGACTCCCGCACAGCTGCAGCCTGGCTAGAAGAGATTCTGGCAGCCCCCCAGTACACAAGACACAAGCGTCACTTCTGAGAGCTTTATTGGCCTTTAATGACAGCATGAGGACTGAGGAGGTCACTCTAGAGTTTCCACCTCGATTGCCGTGTTTCATAGCAGAAACACAGAAGGCAGATTTTTTTACGAAATATAATGCATATAAACCGATTACAGGTTTTTGCCCAAGAAAAGTATAAAACACTACATAAAGAACCAAACAGGAACCTTGATGACAACTTGAGAACAAAACGGTGGGCTTCTTCTGAGAAGGAACCTCGGCTGCTGGGAACACACCATCTCCCGCGTTAACTGGCGGATCCACTCACAGGATGTCACCCCTGGGACGAAGCAGTAACCGGGAAAGGCCATCAATGAGCCGACGTCTGCATGCACACCTGTAATCCCAGCACTCAGAAGGCCAAGGTAGGAGGACCCTGCGTTCCCGGCCATCGTGAGCTTCCCACATGACAACCCGTCCCATGAATCAGACACGAACAGTCGGCACTTGGGCCGCATCACAGTACTTCATGGCGCTGTCACCATCGGAGCTGTGCATGGCTGGAGTATGGCACTGAGGGACTTCCTGGGTGATGCCAGTCAGGTGCCGGTGACAGTTCTGAGATGGGCCCCGGTCTGAACCACGGACTGGATGGACGACAGGTCCGGAGAACACCTCATCCGACTTTGGGCAGGAGACTCTAAGGCTGTCAAGTTTACCACATCCCCCAGTGGAGTTTCTAATGTACTCCCAAAGGATCGGGTATTGTTTTCACAGGGAGACACTGCCTTGGAATCCAGTGACTGCAGAGGACTTGCCTGTAGTCTCACAGAAAACATAAGCTTAACCAGGTCTAGTACACTCAGCAGCTCAACCGCACCAGCTAGGGTTACAGACAGGGATTGCAGGGAAAGCCTAGGAAAACCCTGACCCAGCAATCAAGAGTCCTGGGCTCATGTCCCAGCACTGAGAAAGAAGGAAAAACAAAAAACAAAGATTGGCTTCATGTCTAAGTCCTATCCTATCCATTTGTAAAGCTGAAGAGCTCTATCGACACTAGAAATGGGACCCTCTTCAAGTCAAACACACCGCACTCCACTCTTCTGTAGAGCGCATGCATCTGTGAGCGACTCCTACAGCATGGCTAACGCGTCAGGCCTCATACAGGAAAACACACAGCACCCTCAGACTTCACTGGCCAACATCCTAACTGCAAGACAACAATACTTGAGGTCAAAGTGATGGCCCAGCCATTAAGAGCGCTGGCTCTTTGCAGAAGACCTGAATTCAGTTCCCAGCACCCACACAGCCACCTGTAACCACAGTCCCAAGGGATCCGGACGCCCTCTTCTGGCCTCCAAGGGCACTGCGCACATGTAGTGCAGACATACACACACGCAGGCAAACACCCACAGACTTGGGAAAGTACAGTGACAACTGCAGTTCTATTTCCCCCAGCCAAAAACATGTCCTTGGTTGAAATTATTAATCCAGCCCAAATCTACTTCCATTAGACTATCACAATCTCACAATCTGTAATAGTCTAAAAACCTAGGCGACCTCCCCCCATTTAACCTAAACAGTCGTCTTCATGGCCAACACCTCGAGCCTTGGGTTGCCCTTGCTTACGTCCAGGCCACCACACCCACAAGGCCAAGCAGACATCCCCAAGTTCACCCAAAGTTCCTGCTCCAAAAACTAACTTCCCTGAGACCTGGCATCCCAACAAGAACAGTAATTAGCATCAACAAACAAAAACACTACAGAGATCTGAGTAAGAAGACCTGCAGGAACTGCTCTGAGAACCTGGAGTTTGTAGCACAGGAGCAAACAGGTAGCCTGGCCGACAGCATTAGACCACAGCTCTTTGAAGAGAACGGAAACCACCCATCCAAGTCTTCAGAAGAGGTTCAGCAGCTCTGCAAACCCGCACTGGCCATATCTCAGCGACCAACCAACAGTTGCATAGGACGTTAACCTGGACATTTGGCTTCTTGACATCTGGGCACTCTCCCCTGGAGCCTCCACAGACACGCTTTGCACAACCACATGCATGTGCAGAACAGGTGTCCCCACCCACTCGGCAGAGCCAGGTTTTAAGAATAGTATGCAAAATGAGTGAGTTATAAAATTTATTTGTGTAAGCATTCAGACACTTTCAGGTGGGAAAGATGAGATGCGGATTCTACGACCAGGTTCAACAGAAAGGTGTTGACAGGACAGGACAGGACATCTGGTGCGGACACAAAGGCACAACTCAACCAAGATTAGATGAGGGGCTTCATCCGGGAGGAACTTAGAGAATAATTTAAAGCTCTGTGAGAATAGATATGTTCCAATTGAAAACACTAAGAAACAGTACCATCGATGAGAAAGAAAAACTTCCAAGTGTACCAAAGGGGGCATAGGGGAAATTTGCATCTGTTGAGGTACAAACAGGAGTGTTCCATGGGGGGTGGGAGGTGTTAATTATTATTTATGACAGACCCTGTAAATACAAAATAAAATCCAAATCACTGGTCACAGAGTTCAAATTTACATGTAATAAAGGCAAGGCCATAGACTCAAGGTCTGGCCTGTCAATATTTACTCCAGAGAGAGAGATTATCTACAGAAGCACTTGGCCGATGTGTACACAGTGATTCCTTATGCACGCCAAAAGTTCCCATAAAAATGACGCTATATACAAATCTGTACATGATCCACCAGAGCGACTCTGTCTCCCAGGGGCAGGAGCTGTCAGCATAAAGCAGGGTACCTGAGGTTGCATGTCTTCAACTGCCTTGTCACAATCCAAATATACATTTCAGGGTTTTTGTTAAAGATACTTTCTTTGAATATGTGCACTATGATTAAAATTAAAAACGATAAAAAAATAAAATAATTGCTTGAAGGAGTAGACCCTCCCCATCCCATCTGAGAAACTCCACCGCTGTGGCATGGTGAGGATGTGTCCCTGACAGGTGGCGGCGGCTACAGGAGGGCGGGGCCCCTTCGTGACACCTCTTCGCTGAGTCAGCAAAGGCTCTCATTGACTTTTAATAAGAAAGAAGATGAAGAAAGGAAAAACCAAACCCAATGCCAAAGGCGTCTATCTCAGTGAGCTGACGTTCCTCCACCACTCAGAGAGTACCTAAGGAGAAAGCAAAGCCAGAAATCAGTACACATCACTTCTGGCAACGAGCAAAACTGCCAACACCAAACCAACTTTACATTCTTTACGGAAATGCGAAGTCTTAAAAAAAAAAAAAACCACCATGGACCAAGAACCGGTTAACAGATTATTACACAAGGTTTATAATGACAACTCTGGTTCTAACACAAAAGCTCAATAGTAGAAAGAAGGTTAAATCTAAGTTCAGCACCTAACGCATGAGTCATCGGTGCTAACCAAGGACAGAGCTCGGGGACACACACCGTGGCTAGTTTGAGTCTACGCTCAGCAGCGATATATGGAAGCAGGCCAGACAGGCCACTCACTAGCAGTGCCCCAAAACGTGGCCCAGAAGAGGGCCCCTGTGTCCGCGTTAACACCTTGCATGTGACATCAGAAGGCAATACGCTGAAGACAGGAGGGGCGGTAATAACTGGGTCACAACCACAGGGCGCACAGCACATGTTTTAAAAGAGAAAAGTCTGCATTGTCTTGCTTTTGAATGCAAAGCGGTCTAGTTGCCATGGCCAAGATGATTTCAATCACTCCAAACTGACATCAAATCACAGGGCCAGGAAGATGGCCAAAGGCACAGCTAAGGAAGCTCACTGCAAACATGCCACTGAGCACACTCAGTGGGTCCAGATGCTCTCAGCTGCACACTTGAGCTGCAGCATCTAAGATGCAAACGTCAAGAGCTGCGAACGACTCGCTCCTTCTTCAAGAGGATGCGCAGCTCTCACTGAAAACACTCTAGCCGGAAGTCACTTCTGAAGGGACTGTGGGAACAATCCAGGAAGAAGCCTAGACGGCGACCACTAGTTGAGCATCATCCTATGGCTAGTGGGTGGGGCTCCAGGAACCCCAAGGGGGGGATGCAAAGCCACAGCATGTTTACAGAGACAGACTTCTGATGACTTGGAGGGTTTACAGAGACAGACTTCTGCTGACTTGGGAGGGTCTACTTAGCACAAAGGCCACGAGTGTCTGCTTGAAATCAGTTTGAACTGATGAAGATGTAGCCATATATAATTCATCCAGATTTCAAAGGTTTAATGCCAAAGAAAACAATGCAAAATATCTCAATAGGTAATTGTTTATAATGATCACAAGCTGGCTGAGGAAACTATCAGCGTAATAAAACTGTTCCTCTTTACTATTTTGGTATAGTTCCTAGGAAATGGAAGATCCCATGTGTGGGAAGACTGGGACTTCAGCTCAATGGCTCCCATCTCATTTCTATTAGAGCTGGCAGATCAGGCGCCTCAGTAGGAAGACCAAGAGGTCCAGAAACAGGAAAAAGACCAACTGGGTATATACCTTGTCACACCACCCATGCCGGAGCTACTGAAGAACCAAGTCACACATATCACATATAACCCATATAACGTCAGGCAACTCTGGGCTACATGCAAAATTCTTAAAGGTGACCAACCCCCCCACCCCCCCCAAGCCCTCACTGATGTGCTCCTGTCACCCAGCTACTTGGAGGCAGAGGCAAGAAGACCAGGAGTTTAGGGCCTGACTGCCAACACAGACAAGACAGGCTTTAGTGGAGGCGGAAGGCACTCAGCAGGTAAGGTGTCTGTAGATGTGCCTGATGACCTGAGTTAGATCCCTGGGTTTAAAAAGCGGCAGGACAGAACCAGCTCCTGAGAGGTTCTCGGACCTCTGCCCCCACAGATACGTATACCAACAAATGCACACACACACAGAAAAGTGACCAAGTAGAAAACAGAACCACAGGATAGTTAACCAGTTTTGGGGGACGGTTCTGTTTGGTTTGTGACAAACCTCTTTTTAAGTGAAAAACAAATGCCACTAAAGAGGAAATATGGAGTGATCCCAAGTGCTGGGTGAGCGACTGGGTTTTAAGCTTATTTTTCCTTTACTTCTGCAACAGGCTGCTGCCTTTAGAATTGAATCAGGGCCAATCTTAAAGAGACCACTCTCTCCGTTAATGGCCTCAGGAGTGGGAGGACCCAGCAAACCATCTTTACTTTGTATCCCTAACAGTAAGATCTATTCAACATGCAGGCTGTGCCCAAAGCCACCAAGGACAAACGGGAGCTCCCCGAGGACACAGCACAGCCGACTACAGGCACGGCTGAGCATGGCGCGCCCACGCCTCTGGCTTCAAACCCAGCTCCCAGTAAGCAGTGTGACTGGGGCTCTATCTCTCTGCTCGTTAGACCACCGATGCAGAGGTCTTTTAGGGCATCTTGCATTTCTCTGGCAAGAGCTACAGATACAAGGTTCTGTGGTCTTTTCCAGATTCTCTTCTTTCATTTGTACACTTAGAGCAAGCCTTCTCCAGGTCTTGCTGTAAGCCCATGGTCTGGAGGACAACAGGAACAGACAAGAATGGAGTACCCAGGAGACTGACCGAGAGCTGCCACCTGCAGCAGCTTCCTAGTCCGGTGAGCCTGCACTACCAGGCTCCCCTCCTACCAGCCCAGCCCAGCCCATAGCCCGGTCACCTCTGCAGCCGCTGCACGAGCTGAGCCACCATGGTGTCCGAGATCCCAGGGCAGGCCTCTTCTGCCAAGTAGATGGCTCCCCGGAGCTCTTCTATGGACCCCAAGTTTCCTCCACAGGCCTGGCTCTTCTCCTTCAGCTGAAGACGCATACAAGAGCAATGAGGCACGCGTGTGCACAGACCTGGGTGGGCCCTGATGCCATAAGCAGCACGCCAGGCTGACGGGGGGTCAGGCACGAGCTCTGTGGCCGCTGGGTCACTCTGGGCCCCATCTTGGACCTCTATGAACCTTGTGTACAGCTAGGGCAGGAGAGGGTCCGCACTCGACTCTTGCAGGCAAGAACAACGGTGCACATCTGCATCCCTCCTCTCACTCACTGCCTCATCTCCAGTGGGTTTGGGGTCATTACTGAGGAAGGATTTCAATAGTTTAAGCCCGGTAAAACCTACACAGCCCGCAAGAAACACAGAACTCCAGACAGCTTTCCCTACGCATGCGCCTGGCTTGTGGATGCAATGCAGATGTTGAGCCTGCCTGCCTAGGGGCATTTTAATGGCCCCAACTTGTCTGGACAGCCACCTACAAAAGGACAGCCCTGCTCCCCTTGTCCTCCCTTCTCCCCCCCCCCAAGAAAGGCAGCCAGGGGTCTTACCTCCACAAACAGAGGAGAGATGATTGTGGACAAACACTGAGAGAAAGGCCTCTTTGGGATGTCTTTCATCTTGGGGAAGAAGAGACGGGCCATTAGAATGAGACAACACTGAGGTAGACAAGGACTCTACCAAGGCGTGCACTGAATTCTCCAGCCAACTCCTGGAGTCAACTCCTGCTCACTACCTGAGTGAGACTGTTGAGCAAGGGGCCCCACCCATGCAGTTGGGAACCCACGGGCAATCGCCGCAAGATACCATGCGTGAACTCTGTAGGTGTGAAGATACCATGCGTGAACTCTGCAGGTGTGACAAACTTTGCTGAGGGAACTCTGGAGAGCTAAAAGCCAGGTGCTCCAGGCAGCCATCGTATGAACAGCCCGGTCCCCACCACCTCTCTGAACTTGCCCGCCTCAACAGAGGCGGCTGTGTGGTCACACGTGGTCCACATGGCCCGACGACTGAACCACAGTACCTCACAAAACCTTTAAAACACAGCTTTTTGTAAATTTAAGTGGACACAAAACCACCTCATCACGTCTGTATTAAATACCAAACAACTAAAACTCCACCATAAAGTCAGGTATGCCACGACAGGTCTGCAGGCACTCACAGAGAAGTCATGTGTGAAACTTCCCGTCCACATCCAGCGCCACCATGTGGCTGCGGGTCAGGAGGTGAAGGAGATGTGCTGACCCACAATCTCAGGCCGGACTAAATGTCCACACCTGCCAGTTCCCTGAGGGCAATGCCACCAAGGAGCTGCTGCGAGCGGGGAGCTCCGTGCCCACTTACTCCCACACAAGCTGGCCATGGGTGAGCATGGGCACGGGAAAAGGCATGGACCACCACCGTACCTTATTTCTTTCCAGGTCTGACGGCTGGAGAGTCCCATTCTCCAGATTCTTGGGGTCTTTCTCCCGGATTGTGAAGATCCAGTCCCCAGAGTCACTGCCTCCAGACGCCTGGCCGTCTGTCTCCCTTAACACAGAGATTCCGCCAAAGTCACCAACATGGGCTAAGCCGCACAACCCTCACCCCCGACCCCAGCCCCAGTCACATTCAGTCGCCATGTCCTTGAGTCTGGAAGCCTCGCCGGGCATCACAAGACGGGAAGGGCTGTGGTTCCTGGGATTGTCCTTGTGCTCCTAACACACACTGCTGCTGTTCTGCCGCCGCCTCCTCCACAAAAAGGGGCCACACCGCTGCTGTGCCCCTAAGTGCCCATCTGCCACTTCCCTGTCCCTCTTGAACTCACTCTCTTCCCAGGTACCCTGCTCGCCTCTGCTCCCCCTTAGGCCACACGGAGCTACAAGTCTCTACCCACCCTCTCATTCGCTCTCCCCAACTCCACAGCCCCTGTGTGCCAACACCAAAACCCCACTGCTCTACAGCGTCAGAGAAGGGGTCGTCTCCCTGCTCATCCCGGGGCCTGCTCGATCCTCAGCAGCAGGGACGCAGTATCACAGCTGTGTTACCTCCATCCTCCCCACCAACAGGGCCACAGCTGCGCTGCCTGACCCCCACACCCCGCTTTCCTCCGATGGCGGCTTCCTAGAGGCTGACTCCAGGCCCTGACCCCTTTCCTTAAGTAACGCCGTCCTCCTCACAGCTCCAGTTCCAAGATCTTTTCTACAGCAGGGCAAATGTCAGACTGTGTCTTCTGCCTGCTCCCCATGCCCACAACAATTGTTTAAGCTATGCGTCTTCTTCAAATCCCATAGCAGCTCAAATTCCAACATGGCCTACATACCCCTGTGACATGACGTCCCACGGTGCTGAGACCTGGAACAACACCCTTCCCTGCCTCCTTTAACCCACACCCTTCACTGCGGATGAAACCCAGGGCCCCCAGCATGCTAGCCAGGTCCTGAGCAACAATGCCAGCACTTGGTGCACATTTTATTTTGAGAGGTTTCAGCGAGCCTTTAATGTGAAGTGCCTGGTAGCTGGGGTTAGCTGAGGTGACGGGCCGGGACCTCCACGCAGACCTACTGTCTGCCGCAGCCTGGCCCAGCCCTGCCTCCACTCTCTTCGCCCCTCGATGACGTTCTAACCGTCCACTCAGTGGTCTCGACCCGCAGACCCGATGGGTCCCAGGCTTGAAGTCTGCTGTCCCGGCATGGGGACGTGATGCTGGCTCTAGGCTACGGGGTGCAGGACGACAAGCCAGGCCCCCAGGAGCCTCCTTTCTCTCTTACAAGACAGCCAAGCCACCCTCCCTCCACCTCCTGTTTGGAGAGTGCCAGTCACCACAATGTGGGTGCTGGGGGACCCACTGTCAGGGAGCAACTGCCCCACAGGGGGCCTGACAACAAGCATTCTCTTCCCTTCAGTACTGCATAAGAGGACGTTGTCCGTCGGCACCTCTAGAGCAGGGGGTAATGGAGAGAAGGAAGCCACACCACAACTCTGCGCATGCTCCTAATTATGCAGACTTCACTCAAACTCCATGGCAATGCACGGCGCCCAAGAACCCGAAGCAAGGCCATGCGTACAACACTCAGCATCCGTCCAGAGGGGAGGGATACGGCTCACTGCACAGACACACACGCAGGCACGCAAGGCCCTCGGGCGGGGCCACTTACACATCCGAGTCCTCCGAGCTGGAGTCCTCCTGGCTCTGCTCCGCCTTCCACCTCTTGTACCTGTCGATGAGCTCCGTCAGGTAGGACGTTTTCTTTGCGTTGCGGATTATGAACTTGTGCTTCAATAGCTCCTTAGCAGTGGGTCTCTGGGAAACACACGCCCAAATAATCGTCAGACGTTTCTTCTGCATTCTACTCATCCCACCTGGGCAGCCAGACTGCTGGACTGAAACGCCTGATCACTGCCCACTCGGCCACTTGGCTCTACTTCTGAGCCCTCGGGCTCATTCCAGAAGAGTCGCTCCGCACCCATGCCCAGGCATGAGGTAAATGTGACGGCAGAGATTCCAACAGGAAGGAAATATTCTACCAGAACCATACAATGGAAGCAAGAGTCCTTTCGCCAGTAACTCTACAGAGAGCATTGTGAGCACTGCCTGAGAGAGCATCCCCGGGTTACATGGCACCTCATGACAAATGCTGACTAAGGGAAATAGATGTTCTTCATGACTTCCTATAGCGTTAGGCTAATACCACAAATTAAAATGAACTCAATAATTGGACTCATCTAGAACAGGTTGGGGCAGGAGTCAGGAGAGCATTCCCAATCTAGAAAAGTCAGTGTGCGAACCTATCCCCACCCCAGTGTCTACGGCCAACAGCTGGATTACCACCTGGACACGGCACACCCAGTTTAGTCAGTGGTCTCCCACCTTCCGGCACAAAGCTCCCTCAGCACAGAGAGTGGACCAACCGAGGACAGACAGCAAAACCAGGGGTGCCGGCCAGGCACACCAGTCCCACCTGCTCCAGATAACCAACATTTTTCTCTGGTAAGAACAGCATGTTCCTCTCGCCATGATTTCTGAGAACCCGGGTGGCCTACCGCTCTCCAAGCAACTGAGAACCCGGGTGGTCTCAGCCATCCTCCCGCCCCGTCTCCATTCTCTGACTGTGACACTCCCAAGCGGCCCAAGTGCTCATATTCTTAGCTTTGCAGACCTTCTTGTCTGAAGGTCCAGGGGCCAGCCGAGATGGAGCGGTGTATCCTGGGAATAAATGAGAACTGGACATGCTCTAGAAGATGTGTGCACACTCGGTCTCTTCCCGGGTGCTAACATACTGTGCTGCCCTGTGCCTTGAGCAATCAAACAAGTGGACTGCATGCAAGACCACACCCACCACTCAATACCCGACCCCGTGACCAGAGGCTGACAGACAGGCTGCCCTCAACCTGCAGCCACGATCCCATCAATCCCTTTGCCAGAACTGGTACCTAGGGAACTAAATGATGCTCTTGTAAAACTCATCCTGTCTCACCATCTTTAGACAAGAGGTCACGGGACCCCCTCAGGGATACTCTTCAAGTTCAATGAAACATTGCTGGCAGCTAACTCTGCTCTAAGAAACCCAAAACAAGGACACAGGATGCTACATGTGACACACACTCCACAGGCTGCTTTCAAAGGAAAAGGCAAAGCTCACAGCAGCTAATGCACGGGCTCTGCCGCCACTGAGGGACAGGGAGGAGGTGGAGATGGGTGGGTCACAGGAGTCTGCCTCCCAGCACACGACAACTGCAAACAAAGTTTACTTCCGTTGTCTTCAGGCCAGCCTCTGCCATTACCAAAGCAGTTTTCCAGTCTACAGCCGGTTTCTCTATGAATAGTAAAAACAACTGACGACCCTACCCCAGTACTACGGAGAGTATTCTCCAGACGCTGGAAAACTTGAAACAGAACAATTACACCTTATATCCCTAAAAGGTAAAATGGCAATAACAAAAGTCTCTGCATAATTTTAAGAAATCAAACTCATTTGCGAAGATGTGTGAGCTCATGGAGACAGCTGCTAACGGTGACTAGAACAATCCCAACAGAACAAATTCAAACCAGCTGAGACCGCAGAAAGGGGGTGTACTCACAAAGCTCGGCTCCTTGTTCAAACAGGCCTCCACAAACTCCTTGAGGGGTTTGCTGTAGTTTCCTTCCAGCGTGGGAGGGTTGTTCTTTGGGATGAGGAATAACACCTTCATGGGGTGCAGCTCCGAATGTGGCGGCTCTCCTCTGGCCAGCTCTATTGCTGTAATGCCCAGGGACCAGATGTCTGCCTACAAGGACCAAAGCACCTTTAAGACACGGAGCATGCCTTTAAGACATGGAACGTGCACGTATGCGAGTGTGTTTCAGTCCCAGGTTCTGAAGAGGACAACTATTTTGGACTAATAAGAAACACTAATAAGAAAGCATAATCCCAACACAGAAAGCAAGTGGGCAGATTTGTTGAGGCAAACACCCACCCTACGCTCCTGACCGTCTACGGTAGGCAGCGTGCCTCTGTCAGGTGTGCTCTGTGCAGTCCTTGCTGTGGCGGCACAAGGAGCCGATGGGCAGGAGGAGCTGCCTGGGAGTCACCCCTTGAGCAGCCCCGGCGCCAGGCACAGCCCTTCAGATCCAGAGGGCGCCTTGGTCTCAATGCTGAGGACACCAGACCACTGCTTCCCATGATCCCGGCCCCTTGCTATTCACAAGGGAGGTGTTTACAGAAGGAAATGTGGGGCGACCGCCGTGCCCATAGCTTAAAGCAGCCACTCTGCTTTCCTTGAACTGCTTTGCAGTGCTGGGGTCTGGACCTACTACCTCATGCACGCTGGCACACGCTCTACCAGTCCTGCAGAGTGTTTATTATGAAACATGGCTGCACACAGACATGGAAAACATCAACCCAATGCTCCTCCATACATCATCACACGACCATAATTGTCACATGAACATAATCGTCACTCGCACCTTCCGGTCAGGCTTCGTCTGCTTGTTGTCACAGACCATTTGAAAACACTAGGCCTTGTGGCCGGTCATTCCAGCACTCACTCAGAAGGCTGAGAGGCAGGAGGGCTGCATAAGCTAGACACCACCTAAAGCCCCACACAGAGGGAAATACCAGTGCTACCCAGCAGGGGGAGAGGGGGAGAGGGACAGAGGCACCACCACCACCCCAGCCCTGCACTTCAGCCCGCCACCAAACAAGGCTGGCTTACACACAGACACTAAAGTTAGCACTACTGGTAGTTTTCTCAGCTAGTAGCGTGCAACACCAACGTGGGATCAGCAGAAATGGAGCTCAGTGATTGGAGCTCTCTCCCCGGCAGTGTGCAGGGCAGCTCCAGCCACACGTCATTCTAACCTTGTAAGTTCCGGCAACCCTTTTTGGCGGTGCCCCAGGCAGAGCCATGAAGGTAGCAAGAAGCGAGAAAGCCACACAGAGGAAAATGAGCTGCAGGGGCCCCAAGTCTATGCATGTGACTGTTGTCCCCTGCCCCCACTCTCAGGCACAGCATGCCACCAGATCAACCACACACTAGGTACAGTCACTAAGGGAGGAAGAACGAGGTAGCCAACGGCATAGTGGGAGATGGAGAAGGAAGCCGACATTAGCCAAGGTCACAGGATTACCGCTACAACCCACCTCCGGTACAGAAGGAAGGCTACGCATGCAGAAATGAAAGGGACATGCATCAGGATGTCGTGGGTGGGTCCACAGCACAGGCTCTCACCTTTGAGTCGTAGGCTGACTGCTTAATGACCTCGGGCGCCATCCAGAAGGGAGTACCCACGAAGGTGTTCCTTTTTATCTGGGTATCGGTCAGCTGGCCAGCTACTCCAAAGTCGGCAAGCTTCACTTCTCCATGCTCAGAGAGCAGAACGTTGGCCGCTGCAGGACAGCCAAGCAGGGGACATCATTACACACCGTTATACCCAGGCTCGCCCTGGGAGTCCAGGCATGCTCTCCCCACAGGGTACAAGGGCCCGTAACAGCAAGGTGCCCTGGGGTTCACGAGAGTCCAGCTTGACCACAGACAGTCAGAGAGGGCAGGAGAGACGTACGGAAGGCTCCACCACTTCAGGTGCTTCAAAGAAATGAAAAAAAGAAGAGTAGTTCCTACCTTTAATATCTCTGTGGATTTTCTTCTCAGAGTGCAGATAATCAAGTCCCTTCAGAATTTCTCGTAATATGGTAGCGATCTGAATTTCATCTAAAGGGCCAGGTTCTAACTAACAAGAAAAACAGATCACTCATTAGCCACTCAGCACGCATCTTGGTCCAGCCCGGCCTCAACTCACAGAGATCCGCCTGCCTCTGCCTCCCGAGTGCTGGGATTAAAGGCGTGCGCCACCACCGCCTGGCCGCTCAGCACACATCTTATGCAGGGTTTAAGAAATAAGAGTCCACGCTAAGCAGACAGGGTAACTAAAATGAAAGATATAGTCACATAAAGCTAAACAACTGAAATCTATAGAAGGGCCAGGCATTGTGGTGTACGCACGCCTTCAATCCCAGCACCAGGGAGGCAGAAACAGGCAGACCTCTGTGAGCTCAAGGTCAGTCAGGTCTACATAGTGAATCCCTGTCCAGATAGATAGATAGATGATAGATAGATAGATAGATAGATAGATAGATAGATAGATAGATAGATAGATAGATAGACAGACAGACAGACAGACAGACAGACAGACAGACAGACAGACAGACAGACAAATCTATCAAAGGATGAGGAGGGGACAACTACAGAAAATTTGTTTGCTGGCCTGCAATGCAGCTAAGTGGGAAAGCACTGGCCAAGAGTCGGGACGGTGGATGGATGGAGATGGAGACGCTACTGAGTGAGGCGAGCCCCGTATCAGCGGGACGGTATTTCAAAAGCCCATTGCCAATATTTGTAGCCCTGTAAGCTGACCTTGAGGGCTGGTGCACACCACCAAAAGCACAAGTTGTGACAAATGTGTGAGCCCACTCCTTCCTTAAGCTACCCCTCTCACCAGAACTTCCCAGATCTGCATTTTCAGATCTAAGGCCCAGCTTGGGAAAGCGCAAGAAAAGCCCTCGACTTTCAGAATGTGTTATATAACACACACACAAACACTTATTAATAAGCCCTACTCGGGAGCAAGCAGTGGCTTGACTCCTTAGTATCAGTTCTCCTAAGAAGTTGTAAGGAAGCAATGTCACGTGCACACATGCCTGTTGAAAGAAGCTGACAGGATGGAGTTGATCTCCGTTCGTACCACACAGTCCCTCCATCCTCACCTGTGGAGAGCGTCACTGAGCTAGCAGAGACAGTCAGCAGTCAGAGCAGCTTACAGACCAAGTCCACTAAGTCAGGAGAAGCAAGACTTGCTCAACAGACAACCAACACCATTCTATTCTAAGCTCACACGCCTCAAAGGGAAGGCACAGACCTGTCTTTAACAGGAAACTCGTGTCACCAGGTGTGCTGGCTCGCTCCTGAAATCCCAGTCCTTAAAAGGCAGCCATGATAGGAGAGCCATTCTGGTAGATCCCCTCTGTATACACAGAGAGCTTCACTCTGTAAGGTGTTCATCTAAAGAACACTGACCAGCGCAGCCCAACTCATGCCTGGTGCCGCCTTCTGGCTCATCCCAGAGGCCTCTCTGGTCTAACTATAAAGGCCAAGGCCAGCCAGGGGCCTCTCTGGCTGCCTACCATGTGAGCCTCTCCAGGTTTCGTCATTCAGAACAGAGCAGAAAAGAAGAGAAAGTACAAGGAACTTTCAGCTGGAGAGAGAGGGAGAAAGAGAGAAGGAGAGGGAGACAGAGACACACACACACACACACAGAGACAGAGAGAGAGACAGAGAGAGAGAGAGAGAGAGAGAGAGAGAGAGAGAGAGAGACAGAGATCAAACTGCCTGTGTCCACTAGCCTTCCCAGAAATTATTGCCAATTCTAACCAAGACACTGCTCAGATGGCAACAGTATGACGCATGCTGCTCTACAGGGTATAATTGTTTCCAGTTATTTGACCAAGAGCCTTTTCCCCCCAGGAAAGATAATTCAAACCCCTGTTCCAAAGACCATGGTCTGAAACATGTAGACATGCAACACGCCTCCTTCCTCCATGTCTACTCCTCAGGGATCGCAGCTTTCTGAGTTTGCAGACACACTTCATCCAGCACAAGACCAGCAACACGCGGCCACACCCGCACCCCCCACCCCTCACCGCCTGCTCCTGCCTCCACACCTACTGATGTGGTGTCTTCCCCTGTGACGGACACTCACCCTGGAACCAAAATAACTTTCTTCCTTAAGTTGCTTTTGATCGTCGTGTTTTATCACAGCAACAGAAAGGTAACTACAACGGGGAAATGGGCTCTATCCCGTCTACAGATTAACTTCTGATACCTTTCCCCTTACACACGCGCGAGCGCGCGCACACACATACACGCACGCACACACCCCATTCTCCCCCTGCTAGACAGATCACCAGCGCACACAACTACCCAACTACAGACCATCTTCTTGGGGTCTACAGAAGCATTCATCTGGTCTAATGACTTTGTTCCCAACACGGAATGTGACACATGTCATCTCCTAATCTTAACCCTGGACAAGACTATGGAAAGCCCTAAGTGACCGTACGTGTGGGAGGGAAATCCATTCCCATCCTTTGGGAAATGCTGTTTGGGGAGTGCCAACAGCTGCTCACCCTGAATACCCCTCAGATTCCATCTTTTGTTTTCAAAACCATGTTGTACATGCATTTTTCAGGTTGTCAAACATCACCCTGATTAGGTAAGCCTTTTAAACAGCTTCCTTCATAATTAGATTCCAGGCCGGCCCTTTCGTTCTCTGGCAGCAGACTGCCTGACCTTTCACTCAGCTAAAGCCTTTCTTTCCCTCTCAGAGCTTCCCTAACCTTCATCCAGCCCTCCCTCCCTTCCTGCCTCGCCTTCCTGTTCCCTGTGCATCGGTGAGTGCGGCTCCGCATAAGAATAGAGGTGTGTGCACGCGTGCGTGCGTGCGTGCATTCGAGTGTGTGTGCAGTCATGGGGTGCGCATGCATGTGTTCATGTGTTTGCGTATGTATCCGTGTGTGTGTGCGCGCACGCGTGCCCGCGCGCACGCACATTCATGTATGACCTCCACACAAGAGCAGCTGCTCTGCCCTGTGTATGGACTGGGCTATGAGACACTAAGCCACAGCAAGTTAATAAGGCCTGGATTGCAGAGCATGAACGTGCTCCCCTAAGTCATGGCAGGCACTCTGGAGGCAGCTGGACCAAGATGATGGACAGTGGAGTCCAGAGTAAATGCCCAAGAACTCGAGTGGGGGGGGTGTCCTACAAAGATTTGTATGATTTAATTTTAAATGAAAGTCAACAGGTTGAGCACATTCAAACATCAAACATATGCATATTTTATACTCATTGCTCTTTGTCAGTGTGTCTTTGATACTGGATCTAGAACTCGGTGGTGAATGTTTCCTTTCTCTAGCAAAGCTGTGGCAGCTCCAGGACAGTTGCCTCCCCTGCTGCAACCCTCAGAAAGAGCTCCTGTAGTCACAGGACAACTCTACATCAATTCCCACAGACCACACAGAAAGCCAGTCTCAACTCTTCAAAGAAATGACCCCATGTAGCTACACAGCACCGCATTCGGACTCACGGCAATATTCTAGTATTAACTCGTCCAGGAACCTGCATGAAGACCTCCTCTCAAAACGACCCTGATTGTTTTCAATATTCAGTACATAAGTGCCATACCCACTAAGGAGCACTCTTTCTTTCCTCTTTGAGGGTTGGGGGGCAGGGACGTGGTAGAGGAGGGAAAGAGAAAGTCAATTGGAGGCGGATAGGCTCCAGGACCAGGAAGCAGCGTCTAAAACTTAAAGCAGTCAGCTCTGCATTTTCCTCCAATGGTGACCTCTAACCCTCCACAGACACCAACTCAGGTAATCTAATTACTGCGGCGGAGTGTGAAGACTGAACGGGAGCACTCAGAGACACAGAGAGAACTGCTCTCTCTGCCGGCCGCCAGGAAGACAAGGTCCCGGCAAGCAGCCCTGTGTGTGCCGCAAACTCAATCTATACGGATGACGGCAAATCTCACTGCACAGAAAGTGAGAGTAATTTTCTACATTCCTGTTATTGCCCCCAAGAGTGAAAACGTGAAAAGTATTTTGTGCAGTGTGGATATCTATAGAAAGGGCCAAAAAATATATTCGGCCCCCTCCCATTTTAGTATCACAGCTTAGACGTGTATTGTATTAACTTTTCCGTGAAATCTTCACTCTGAACGACATACTGAGCAACCCTTACGGTTTACAACAATGTGCAATTCCCTGGGTTAGGGTATTGGCTTCCTGCAGACATGTCGTTTTAGAAAGTCTTCCTCTCAGGAACCCACCTGGTGCTGGTAGTGTAAGAGAGAAACTGCTCTGGGGGGCAGCTCTTCTTTTAGAAAACCTGTGTGAGATTTCCTTCTGCTCTTACCCCTCACCTCACTCTCTTCTCATGAGAGACTCAGCTTCAGCTTCTAAAATGAAGGGTTTGGGCAATGGGCCCCACTCACAAGCCTACTATGCACAGGGGTCAGAAGAGTGCATGGATGTGCTGTGTGTACACGCTTGTGCGAGCCTGTGCTAGTCTGGAGTCATCCTCAGTAACCCTCTCTACCGTAATGTTTTGGTAACAGGCACACTGATTTGGCTAGACCAGCGGATTAGCAAGCCCAGGGCTCTGCCTGCCTGTGTCTTGCCATCCAGGGATATGAGCGTGCGTCTCTGGTGCCAGGCTTTCATGTGAGAACTCGGGTCCTCATGCTTGCAGAAGCACTTTGCTGGCTGAGCATCTCCTCAGCCCCCAAACACACTACTTTGAATACACGACATGATGGAAACAGAATCCAGGTGCTGGGCAACAGTGTTTCAAGACGACAGTTACTTTATGGGGCTGGTTATCTGTGGGCGCTCTACCACGCCCAGCCTGCAACAAACATCTCCTCCTACCTCCCACCGCCCTCTCTGGGGGTCCATGTGTACACTACAGGGCGAGTCCAGAGGAAGACAAAAGACTGGGTTCCGCCTGCTCCGCGGGCACTGACAAGATCTACGGTGGCCATTCATGCAACACCCTGCGGTCACTGCTCCAGCACCCAATGCCAGACCTCAGCACTCACATTCTGTCTCTGACTCTGGGAAGGGAAATGTGACGAGCGTATGCTGAGAACCGTTCCCATCTGAAGTAAAAGCCATGACAGCAGTGCTAGAGAGACCAGTCAGCCATTAAGAGCACTTGCTGCTCTTCTAGAAGACATGGTCCCTCCCCAGCACCTTCAGAGAGACTCAAAACTGCCCGTTACTTCAATTCCAGGGGATCAAAGCCCTCTTCTGGACTCCACAGGCATCAGGCACTGAAGCAGTGTACTGACATATATGCAGGCACAACACCCATACACATAAAATTAATTAAAACAGAAAAGAACCATGGTGGCTATGTAACAGTTACTCAACCAGAGGTTGATGATTTCAGTCTGAAAAATACACTGCCCAAGTGCTCACAGACAAAACAATCAATCAAATCTAGGCAAAAGCCTCCATGGCTGCCACAGATCAATTTACTGGTTTATAAAGAAACAGTCCTCTCCCCCAGTGCTTTCAAAAGGGCCCTTCAATTTAAGTTCTGCATTGAGAAACAAAACCAGGTTAGGAACAGTTTCATGCTTCCTTACAGAAGAAGAGAAATGGACACGCACTCCCTGTTCAAGCCAACAATGATTAAGAGCGGCCCAAGGAGTGTGCTGTACGACCACGGTGTGTGGTGACAGCTTGTCTGTGCTCTAAAAAATAAAGCTCGCCTGAGGATCTGAGGCCGGCGTGAGCCACTACTTAGCCATAGAGTCTGGAGGTCTGTACAGACAGGCAGGCAGCCAGGAAGAGCTCTAGTGCCTGGCTGCTCCGCTTCTCTGATCTTTCAGCCTTTACGCCATACTATCTGACTCCAGACTTTTATCACTAAGACCAAGTAAAACTCCTGCTACAACGGTGGGAACAGCCACGGTGATGCTTACCAGATCCAGGGCGGAGCCTCCACCAAGATATTCCATTATTATCCACAATTTAGTGTCCTACAAAAACAGAAGAAAGGGGGAGTTAGTTTTGAAACAAAACTAGGAAAAGTATTTAAGCATGTTATTATTGTGGACTTACACATTTTATAAACACACACACAGTGTACAAATGACAAGTGCATAGAAAACCACTATGCACAGAAAACCCTCCTAGTGGTCTTGAGGGCGGGGTCGGCCTGGAGCCCTGCTGGAGAACAGGGCTGAGGGCATTTTCGTCTTGAAACCACTTCACTGGACGCCCTCACACGGTGCAGTCGAGGGCCTGGAGCTAAGTCAGGGCTTGTGTGTAGCTCGCTTCCTGTCCACCATCATCACTGCGTTTCCTCCGACCCTAACACCCCAGTTTCTCCAGGTCCCCATGAGCAAAGGGGGGTGCACTGCGCCGCTGGGCTCACAGAACGTGAGGCCACCAGTCTCTGGCACACCCAGAGTTTCCAATGCTGTCTTCTGCCTTCCAGGGCTCCCTAGAAGCCACGCCACCCTCACACATGCGAGTTTCCTGTGAGGAACCTGCACACCGGCAGGTCTGGGAACCAGAGTGACCAGTACCCTGACGACAACAGTCCCCATTGCTGACTTCATTGTGGGGGCTCCTGTACTCACTGGGGCTGGGGTGGACACAGAAGCACCTTTCTGAGCTCCTGTCCCTCCAGAACAGTGCTGGGCTTGGTTCTCACAGGCACCAACCACTCAAGTCCCCTCCCCACTCACTCCCCCACCACGCGGTGCCCACAAGGAGTGAGCTTTTGTGGTTTAACCTGGAAAAATTCCTTTTTCAGACCCATCTCAACATTACAGCAAATGGAAGCGCCAGGCACGGTGTGTGTGTGTGTGTGTGTGTGCGTGTGTGTGCGTGCGTGCGCATGCGACTGTAGTCCTCATTACCAAAGGAGAGGTAACATGTTAGCCACATGTTAGTGTCAGGGAGGTTCTGATGCACAAACTCCATCAGCAGAAGGTCCTTTTAGAATTTAAAGCAAATTCTACCACCTGAATTTAGTATTTTCTTAAGATGGATTGTTAACATATGAAGGCAAGTCCCGGCTGGCCAGGGAGAGGCAGCAAGTCTTAGACAATGTGATATTTATTCAGCAATCATGCTGTCATGGCTATTTGGAGAAGGGCCTGGCTGGGCCTCCAGAAACTTAAGTAGAAGGACGAGCAAGATCAAAGTATAATGACGTGTGTGGAGATGCCACAACAAGCAAAACCTGTCAGCTTGTACGCTGACTTAGGGGAAGAGAGGCCAGCGGAATGTACGGTGGCTCGAGCAGAGTAACACCTGCGAACCGGGCGGTGAGTTCAAGGAGAGTCTTGGCTACACAGTGAATTCTAGGCCAGCCAGGCAACAGTGTGAAACTGCTCTCAAATGAACAAACAGTCCAACACACTGAAGAAACCCTCCTTCCACAACAGGCTCACACGCAGACTGCCTCAGACTGGCTGCCATTCCTTCCAGGTCCCAGAAACAAACCCGTCCTTCTCTCTGGACAGGCAGGCGTGACTTCGTTTTCCTTAAGTGGCCCTGTGATGTTGAGTTCCATCCCTTCATAGCCTCTGCGCTGGTTTGCCCGGAGTTCCCTGTCTCTTGTCTTTCTGGCTTTAGGTGTGTTAACAGCAGAGTACACTGTGGCAGCCCAGCCCTCACCCCATCCCCACCGCCTGCTCCCCCACCCCGCTGCACAACGGCAGGCACTCAGGGAAGCAAGGTATTACCTCACTGCTTCCTGAACAGCAAAACCCAAGTGACTACACCCTTGGCCCTCAGTCCTCCCACAGATCACCGCAGCTCTCCTCCTAGACCCATCCACCCAGGAGAGCAAACTCTCCTTAAGCCAGAGGCACAGAACAGCAGAGCTCTGCAGCTCCAAGGCCAAGATGTAGAGAGATGAGCCCGGCCCATTTCTGTCCAGCTCCCTCCCGACCAGACCGAGCGCTGCACAAACACAGGCCCGAGAGGGAGAGGCTGGCCTGCCTTGGCGACCAGGTGAGCAAGCCCAGTGTCCACTCGGTCACCCTGGGAAGCAGCCGGAGCCCTTGCCACAGCCTTCACTACACCTCAACCCCCCCCCAAGGCCACACTGTCAAACTCCACAGGAAGGGGACGCTAACGAGGAGGAAGAGTCAGGAAAGCTAGAGTGAAGGCAGCGACGTGGTGCCCAGAGTAGCCAAGCCCGGCCCACACGGAACCTGGCACGGACATTCCTCACCGCTTTCTCAGCCCCTACCGCAGTGCAACAGGAAAAGTCTACACACACAACAGCTACCCCAAGAACTACACTTGCCACCAGAAAGACAAATCACAATTCCCACTCCCGGGGCCAAGGGCAACCACTGCAAACTTAAACTGAAGCTGGGAGGCAGCTCACGCCTGGACCAACCCCAGCTCAAGGCCAACTCGATGCATGGCAAGTTGAGGAGCCTGGGCCACAAAGTCCTAGTCCACGTCTGTGTGCTCGCTCGCGCTCTCTCCTCTCTCTCTGTCTCTGTCTCTGTCTCTGTCTCTGTCTCTCTCTCTCTCTGTCTCTCTCTCTCTCTCTGTCTCTGTCTCTCTCTCTCTCTCTCTGTCTCTCTCTGTCTCTCTGTCTCTCTGTCTCTCTCTGTCTCTCTCTCTCTCTCTCTGTCTCTCTCTCTGTTTCTCTCTCTGTCTCTCTCTCTCATATCTGCCTCAGGGTAAGGAAGTCTGAGGAGCCTTGCTCTGGGGAAGAAGCCCAAGCTAGCACTACTTAGGAGGGGGAGGAGGGTCGACCACTGACCTCAGAAAAACCTGCCTAAGGGAGACCTGAATGCCAGAAAACACCCAAGGAGGCTTCATCAGACAACAACAGAAAAGTATTTATTTAAGGTAACTTCCCTATAAATCATCAATGACTACTCAATAACTTGCTTAATAAGTCAACTTCGTAGTCAAAATTATCTTTTAAACTGTCCAAGCACATTTACCGTGAGAAGCTTCCCTGCCATCTGTGGCCTCCAAGCTGCCAGCCAAATGCTAACCCATCATCATGGTGTCTTACATATCATCAAAGGGCGAGCACATACATACATACATACATACATACATACATACATACACATACATACAGAGAGAGAGACAGAGAGAGAGAGAGAGAGAGAGAGAGAGAGAGAGAGAGAGAGAGAGAGAGAGAGAGAGAGAGAGAGAGAGAATCTTTCCCCTCTTATCAAAACACTAATATCCTATCACTGGGGCAAGCCTTCCTAGTCAACTGAAACTGCAGACATCATAGATTGTTCTGCTCTGAGATCAATTGGGTCACTGAAGAACCTCACATAAATACTGTCACTCTCCCACCAGAACTGATGGGAAAATCTAGTTCCGTTTTAACAGGTAGCTGACCAATGGCTGCACTTCAAGTACATGGACCCACAGCCTCCAGTCTGGGCGCTCCCCCCCTCCATAACACAGTGCATTCCTGTTTCTGCTGCCCTGAGGTGTTTTGTTGGCTGGCAGGTTGGTGTTTTAGGGCAAAGTCCACAGAGCTCACACTGGGGGGGGGCTCACAACTGCCCCACCTCAGTCCCCCGCATGCTGAGATTGCAGGTAGTAACTTCAAGCAGCATGTGGTGGTTTGAAAGAAAACAGACCCCCAAATATTCCCAAAGGGAGTGGCACTATTAGGGGTGTGGCTTTGTTGGAGTAGGTGTGTTACTGTGGGATTTCAGCTACTCTCAGTGAGACAGAATACTTCCTGCTGTTTGTGCAAGATGGAGAGCTCTCAGTTACCTCTCCAGCACCACGCCACACCACAATAATGGACTAAACTTCTGAAAATGCAAGCCACCCCAATTAAACGTTTCCCTTTCTAAGAGCTGCTGTGTTCATGGTGTCTCTTCACAGCAACAGAAACCCTGAGGCACACTCCACACCTCACCCTCTGAAGTTATTTTTGCTCCAAAAAACAAACAAACAAAAAAAAATCAGTGACTCTTCACTGCCTACAAGGTGATCAGAAGCACATGACCTTGCATTTTTACCTTCATTTTGTGCTTGCCTGTGACAATCTTGGAAGGAGAGAAGGTAGCTCAGAGAGACACTTCATGCTATCAGACCACTGAAATAATGAACCCTAAAACATTAAAACCTCCCCAGACTTCTCACACCAGTCAGGAGGAGGAACTGGTCTGACGGGAAGAGAGTTCACACTGACATTTCGTCAGGCCTCCTAGCAGGAAGAACACACTGGAGCTGAGACAGTGACGGCCCAGGGCGGGTGAGACCACACCCGACCGGCGTGTGCGCCTCTCGCCTTCCACGTAAAATCTAACATGTCAGTGCGCAGACTCAAAGGCAGACATGACAATGGGTTGGAGTCACTAAACGAACCACCTTCCCTGCCTCTCGCTACCACGTCTTTGGCTGGTGCTTGGGGAACAGGTTGTGAAACCCAGAGTCCTGGGACTGACACAGCGTTGAAAACCCAGGAAAAAACTGGCCCAGTGTGTCAGACTCCTGCTTGATTTGATGTAGACATGGAATTCATTCGCCTCAAAGCAGTGACACCTGTCCTACCTCAGCTCCCTTTCAGGCCAGAAGCCCCCAACCCCTCACAGAAGGGCGCTTACCTGTGATTGGGGGGAGGGGTGCTCTAGAAGAAGCCACGGGGGGAAGGGGTGCTCTAGAACAGGGCAGGGCTGGCAGCATGAGGTGGCAACGTGACAGCTTCTGGACCATTTTGCAGAACCAGGTCTGACTGAAAGATCAACCAGACTACTTAATTACACCTCCTCCTTGCCTCTGGCCTCAGCTCTTCCTCTTTTTAACACTAACCCAGGTCGGACCCCTAAGACCTTCTTTATCTGTCCCTCCTCTCATTCGTTACATCAGCTCCCTCGTCATTCATCAATACCCTTTCTTTTCCTGGAATACCGGGGTGGGTGGTGGAGCCTGGCCTGATGCGCACTGGGAGCTAGGCTTTTGCCTTAAAACTCCAGCTCCACTAAGGCCCCCGGTAACCTGGAACATGGAGACAGCATCC